TTAGTATGCTGTTTTTAATTTGGACCAAATTTCTTTAGGGACTTTATAAAGCATTGAGTAAATGAGAAAGAAAAAAAAAAAAGAAAAAAAAAAGGTTTCTAAGTTTTTGGTTAGTGGGTTAGTGGTCATACATCTAATTTTTTGCTCTTTTGTGGCATTTACCACTACACTTACTGCACTTACACAGACACATACACATTAAAAAAGAAAAAGAAAACAAATTGCTTTTTCAAAAATTTTATTTAGAAGTAGAGGACTGAGATTAAAATCTGACATATACATTCATTCTCAGCATCCTTTACAAAGTGTTATATCTTAGCTTTTCTGAGCACTACCAGTAATACAACTCCCTGTGCTAGAAGCACAGCTTGATATTGTTTAGGATACACCTGAACAGAGTGGGCATTTTTGCTGAGTAGATCTGCAGTGCCTGAGTTAACTATGGAGAAAATGAGGAAAACACAATAGCAAGCGTTATATTTAAATTAAATTTTGCAACCTAGTATTTCCAGCAATCTGGAAACCTTTAATTTTTACCAGGTTTTTTACAGAAACATTTTGCTTTGTATTTGTGAGGCATATCAGGTAATAGAAAGACTGATGAAAAGAAAAGTATATGAATTAAACCAAACTTGAAAAAGATGATGGGTCCTTAGGTTCCTTCAGTGATTAGATGAAAATATTTCTCTTTTTTTTGATTAATGGAAGTTCTTTCATTGGCTTTAATGACAGGTAGATGTAATCTCACAGGATATAATACCTCATTTCTCTGTAAAGTTCATGCTCATTTAATTTAATAGAGACTTACATTAGAAAGCAAAATCTCTTACAAAGTTTTCTTAGGAACCTCCCCACCACCCATCCCTGTCATTTTATTATTTTATTTTTTTTTAATGAAGGCTTTCAAATCTTGCTTTTTAAAGTTTCTTAGATTGAAGTGTCACTCTGCTTCCCAGTGATGAATCACATTTTCCTACAATGGCTGAAAGACATCCAAAGTGCCAGATCAATACATTCACAGATACAGTAAGCCACCCACCACAGTGCTATTTTACCCTCCCACTTTCTCCAGACCTGCTGGTTATTAGATTCCTTGGCCAAAAGCATAAGGTTTTGTTTTATCTCTGATGCGTGATAAATTATTATTTTTTTCAAACCACATCTTGTAGGTGAGCTAATCTCTTTTTGGAATGTTTCAAATCTCCTCTTGAAGCCAAAATTGCTTCAGTCTCTGTGGCTATGTAACTTCTGCATTATTAACTTGGGCAGAATCTTGCAGTGGTCTGCAGTCTGACATGGGTATCAAACATTTACTGTTTTGTTTGTTTGTTTGTTTGTTTGTTTTGTTTTTTGTTTTGTTTTGTTTTGTTTTTTAATCACTGCCTTCCCTATTCCTATACTGTCAGTGTTAACATCTAACTGTATTTCTGATCTTTTTTTTTTTCTTTTTTTCTTTTTTTTTTCCGTTTTGGACAAATACAATGTATATATCACTAAAACCAAACAAAGCTTTAAACAAGTATTATTTTGGAAGAGAACCCTGTAGAAAAAGAGCAGAGGGAAGGTCTAGCCTTCCTTTTTGATCTTTTATCAGGCAACAAAGGAGGAAAGAAAATCATAGAAAATGCATTCAAGGACTTTACCATCCTTACCTTGCCCCTAGCCTTTGCAACTGCAACTGCACTTTGAAGTCATCCATCATTTGCCAGGATCTGAACAACAGGAATTTTTTTCTGCTGCTCTAGTTTGCACTTTTTGGTTCCACATCAACATTAGCCTGAAGGAAGCCATAGCAAGCCGGTGAATGGGAATAATGGTAAAGGAGTGCACATGTGTGTGAGAGATTTTGGTGACTTGCATTGGACCAAAGTTTGCTGCTGGTCAGCCACAGAGAATGTAGGAGGAGAGCTGCACCCATCTGGCTGCGACAGAGATGTGTCTCAACCTCATCTCCAGTTCTTCACAAAGACACCTACTCATTGTATGGCCTTGGATGAATCATTGAGGTCAGATTTAATCCAACATTCTTCTCTCTGGCAGCAGGGAGAAGTGTCAGAAAAAGGAGACACTTGAGGAGGTCAAAGCCAACAGGGAGTGACTTGAAAGGAAAGAATGATCAGTGTCCCTGTGTAAGGGCTTAGAGTGTTATGGTATCATTTGCTTTGTACCTGGAAAAATAACCCACTTTCCTGCCATTACTGTAAGGAAATAATACATGCTTCTGAGACAGACGTTACTCCAGACATATTTAAGGCAAGGTTAAACTTTAATAAAAATAAGTTACTTTGATCTATGAGACCATGACACATACAGTATGCACAAAGCCATTTCCTCCCCAAAGTTTTATTAATTTTAAAATGTTGGCATATCCAAACCAGGGTTGAATATATAATCTGTCACAAAGACCAAAGGACTAAAGCCTAAGATGGTAAAATATGTATTATTTATCTTGTGATTTCAGCAAGAAGCTTGGTTGGGCTCAGGGCACCACTGCAGGAGTTAGCACATGAAAAAGGAACAAAGAGACATCCCCAAGCAGGGAGTATTCCAGTTGTATTTCAAAGTGGAAGGAAGAGGACAACCATGAATGAGGCAGATGAAGTATCTGAGAGTTTTGAAGATGATAGAAAAGCATTTCCACACCTAGGGATGGACAGCTCTTTTGGGGACGGTGCTAGCTGATTTTTCAACACCAACCACTAAAAGATCCTGGATCTACAACAGAAATCAGCCATAACAAAACAAAGACAAACATGTGCAGAAAAGTTATAATAAGAAGGAAATACCCAGTTTATTCTGGTTTTAATAGTTGCATGTGTGCAAGCTGCTGTGCTGGCTGGCAGGGAAAGCGTCTGAACCAGAGAGCTAGGGAAGGAGATGAATGAGGTTGTGCTGTGAGTCAGGCTCTGTAGCAGAAGCCTATCCCATCCCTAATGCTCTGTGGGCTGGCACAGATGGGGCAGTGTGTAACTCACCAGTGAATTATACATGCTATTAAATGAGCCGTTGAAAATCCCCATTTGTCTGGAGGGGTGTTGAAGCTTACAGGAAACATGCACCAAAAATCCTTTTGTAGGAATACATAATTTACGTGTTTTAATCTGAATACCAACAGCACCACACTCTCCTCAAGCTTTCCTGGCTGACTTTATCCTTAACAGGAGTCAGAGTCATGGTTCCTGCGAGATAAGACATGTTGCACTGAAAGAAACAGCAGTGAGAAGGGCGAAAACAGTCCATGAGCAATGCTGCCCGGCCTTGCACAATAAATCTGTGTCGTGCATGAACAAGTGGGAGTTTTTTTCTCAGTGCTTTTCCCAGGGATGTGCACACTGTCTATGTAATAAATGACACTGGTTCAAGAGTATCTTGTGATGCTGCATTTTGACATTTGTTCTCCTGAGCTTTTTAGAGTTGTCTCTGTATGGTTTAGTCCTGTGGCACCAATGTGGCATTCAGTAGGGCTAGGAAATGGTACCGGGAGGTGCTGTGGATACAAGTGCACAGTGTTCTTAAGGTGAAAGGAGTCCAGGAGTCCACTTAGGAGTCAACCCATTCCAGCTCACATCAGTACCAGAGATTGGTCCTGAAAATATTCAGTTTACTGGAATGGATGTAGCTTAGACAGCACTATTACTCAGGATTGAATTTGTTCCATCATTGTGGTTCTAGGGCCAGCCAAAACATGTAATCAGAGACACAACTAATTATCATATAAAGATCTGTATCGGCTGCTGGTAGAAAATACCCTTGTGTCTATCCAGTTCTCCTTAGAGTTGAGAGAAATTCAGATTCTTGCATTCAGGTTAAGCCTGCCTTTGTATTTGGTTCTCTGGGTCCATATTATCCCTTACACTGCTCTGCTCCTACAGAGGAAAAATTTAACAAAAAATGTGCTAAGATTGGAGCTGAACAAAAGGTCCCTTGTTTCTCTAGGTATGGATTAGTCCTTGCAGAAAGCAGAGAGATGAAAGCTGTTGTAAGCGTTAAGAGGATTTTTCGGGTAATACTTCAGAGATGCATGTACGTATGACTTGTGAAATGGAATTTAGTGTTAAGAAAAAGAAGCCTCAGAAACTTAAGTCTTCCATTTATCCATAGATATGCAACTGAATAGGTTTCACATACTGCTTCACCAGCATGTCTGAGTCCTGAAGGGAGTTAAAAGTCCATCCACACTTTTCATTCCATTCTTTTTGAAAGAAATACATAAAACATATTGCATAGCTTTGTTTCCAAAGGATATTTGCAGAATATTTTTGTTCCCTTCTAAATATTTTTGTTGTTTAATAGAACGATATTTTCAGAAACTAGGAATAGTCCTAAACTTTTTTTTTTTTTTTTTTTTTTTTCAGATATTTAATGAAAGACAACTGTGGATTAAAAAAAAAAAAATCAAAAAAACGGGAGGAAAATAATTTCAAGTTCCTCAAGGAGAGATTAAGATTTGACTGGTGGGCCTGCAAATTTGTCAGTGGGCTCACTGAGCTCTGGAGCTGAAAACATGATTTGACATTTGGTCTCTCTGCTGAGCCTCTCCCCCTATTCTGCCATGTACTTAAGACCTCTGACCCCTATTTGGTACTCGACAGAGTTTTTACAGAGGCTGAAGGCCTCAGCAGCTCTCTCAAAACAGCCTTTAACTTGTATCTTCAGGCCTCAGTATCAGGTCTTACCAGTTTGTTTTGCAATAGAAGAAACACCAGTGCTGCCCATGCAACAGGCCTGAAATGGAAACTTTTGGCATACCATCTGTAGGGTGTCAGGAATGGTTCAGGGCCCAGACTTAGAAATATGGACCAAGATTTATGAGGTTAATGATGTTCAGGGGAAACAGGCTGGTTTTTAAACAGAGAGCTCCTAACAAGCCTTGCAAGTACATTCTCCAATAGAAGGACTCATGGTACACTGCCTGGGTTTATCCACATGCCACTTTCTTCTTTCCTTTACCTCATGAGTATGGTTGCATCCTTAATGTATCTCTTTTGTCGTTTGCCCAGGTTCTCTGAGATCTGACAGGAATTACATGGGAGAACTGGGAGCTGTATTGTCAAGGCAATGCAATGTCCCTTCAGGTAGATACTGGTATCTGAGTAAGTAGACCTGTCTGACAGTCTTCATTTCTCCCAGACTTCTCCTCTCTGTGCATCAGTACAGCCCAGATCCTCAGGCAATATCTAGGTCCCTGCAGATTGCAATGGGTGTTAAATAATTGCTACTGATTCATTTTTCAGTCTCTGTCTGCAGCCCTCCCAGGAACTCAGTTTAGTTATACCTTTAAGCTCCATTGCTCCACCTTGGGAGGGTCCCCATGCTGGAGCAAAAGGGACTGTGGTGGTGTCATGCTGATGGCCAGCTAAACACCACCACACCTCTCTCACTCCCCATCCTCACAGGAAGAGGGGGAGAAAATAGAATGAAAAAGGGCTCAAGGTTTGAGATAAGGATAAGGAAATCATTCACTGGTTACTGTCACGGGCAAAACAGACTCAATATTGGGAGATTAATATAATGTATTGCCTATTACTAGCAGACGAGAGCAGTGAGTAACTAACAGCAAACTAAAAACACCCCCAACCACCCTCTTCTATTTCCTCCCCCTGAGCGGCAGAGACCCCCTGCTCCTGCATGGGCTCCTCTCCACGGGCTGCAGCTCCGGCCCAGGGCCTGCTCCTGCAGGGACTCTCCATGGGCCGCAGCCTCCTCCAGGCCACATCCACCTGCTCCACCGGGGGCTCCTCCACGGGCTGCAGCATGGAGATCTGCTCCATGTGGGACCCATGGGCTGCAGGGGGACAGCCTGCTCCACCAGGGGCCTCTCCACAGGCCACAGGGGAACTGCTGCTGCGTGCCTGGAGCACCTCCTGCCCTCCTGCTGCACTCACCTGGGGGCTGCAGGGATGTTTCTCTCTGTTTTCTCACTGCTCTCTCTCCCAGCTGTTGTGGTCTAGTTTTTTTTTTTTTTCTCCCCTTTCTTAAATCTGCTCTTGGCCAGTGGTGGGTCCCTTTGGAGCAGCTGGAGCTGGCTCTGATCTGACATGGAGTAGTTGCTGGTCTCTGCTCACAGAGGCCACCCCTGCAGATCCCCACTGCCAAAGCCTTGCCAAGTAAGCCCAATACAGGGTGAAAAACAGGTTTATTTAAACTCATGCCCTGGTTGTATGAAGAAAGAAACAAAAGCAGACAGGAGCTGTAGAGCTCTGTGGCCAGGACCAGCCAGCATAACAGGAACACAGGATGAGTGGCAGGGTGTACTAGAACACAAACCTGCCTCCTAGCCCTACCTGTCCCATGCCACCCAACACAGGGATGCTTCAGAGTGACTCAGGGAGCTGAAGGCAGTGCTGCAGACATGCAGGATGATTTACTCTCTGTGCCATAGTGCCTTCTCTGCTGCTTACGGGGTTTCCTTCCTTGTAGTGTTGTGATTCAAGTTCCTTCATGAGAAACCTAGCTTAATCAGAGCCCTATAAATACTATAACTAGATCACTTGTTTGTTAAGTCTTGTACTGTAATGTACTTGCCTCTGAGAGAGAAGGAAGAGAAGTTGCTACATCACAGACACTATCAGCTCCATCAATGCCACCTGATAATAGACCTGCTTTTTATTCAGCTGGCAGCAACCTATCTCATCTGAGCAAAAACACTGGGATCCTATTCTGCAGGAAAGAAACATATATAAGGTAGTCTGCAGCAGGTGAGATAGTTAAAAAACAAGACAAGAAACTTCACAAAGAGATCCCACAGTGACAGGAGATGCCTGATAGGCCTCTCTTATCTGATTTTCGTGAGCAACCAAGATAGGTTCTGTTCAGGACAAAGTGGTGATGCTGGAAGTGACTTTTGCCCCTTCTCCAAATGCCTTCTGCCACCCACAGTCAGCAGTCCACATGCTTTGTCTTCAGTAATGGAAAAGCAATTTTCTCTAGTTGCTTATGGCAACATTTAAAATAACTGAAAAAGCTGAAAAGATGTTTTTATCATTTTATTTCTGGCAGGTCAGGACCCTGATGTAAATTAGGCGAACTTGCAAAACTCAAGCTATTTTGATTTATGTGGAAAATCTTCTCCCAGCTTACCGCGCCATACATCATAATAACACATAACTTTGATAACCGCATTCAGACAGCAGGTGACTGCAACAGCACAGGAAGGATGTGGTGTATTTGCAACAGTGATTAATAATGTGGGGAGTTTTAGTCAACATAGTGGTTAGAAACTCAGCTTTACTCTTTCTTATAAACCATATTCATATTGGATGTAAACTCATCAAAATGATTGAATTAGCCCAAGCCTTACTGCCCTGTGCTTATGAGCCAGGTGAAATTAGCTGAATTACCTTACCTAATTTTAAATATATCTTTATCAAAACAAGCATGCAAGGAGCATTAGAGGTCCCTGATATGTGTGGTATGGAATTATTTTGTGAACAAAGGACATGGTTCTGCAAATGGTTATTCAAAGGACTATTACAGGGCAATTCCCTAAGTATTCATGTTAAATTAACAGCATAAGCCTATTGTAGCTTTTTAGTTCAAAGTTTTTTATTAAAATTTCCCCTTTCAATGTATTTTCAAGATAATGAAATCTTTCAAAAAGATTTGAGCCAAAAAAAAAAAAAAAAAAAAAAAAAAGCTTTTTGCACTGTTTGCACTGGAAGAAAAGTTTCCATTGTCCCTGGGAACAGTGAAGAAGGAGAGGATATCACCTGACAAGTTCAGCCATTTGGTTACATTTTATCTGGATTTGGTAAAGAAAAAATGTCTTGTTAGTCTCCCTCAGTTAACAAATGTATTTTCTATTTGTAGCACACTGCATTACTTCTGGAAATCTGCTCAAGTACCATCAAAACTTTTTTTTGTTGTTTCCTCTGTACATAAGAAAAAACAACAACAACAAACAAAAAACAGAGAATTTTCTGTATATGAGAAGTAACAGAAACCTTTTCAACAGAAAAAGCTAAAGAAACTGTTGTCTGAATAGACCCTTCATTCCTTTCCAGGAGTTCATTCATTCCTCCTATCTTTGTAATTTTATACTGTCAGTTCTTATAATCTTTCAGCTTGCAAGAATAAAGGCAGCAGCATCAATTTTGTGGATGAACTTTTGAAATCATATTAGGGTAGTTTCTTCCTGTTATCTAGAGCTAGTTTTCCTTTCCTCATGCAAGCTTTAATTTGCAATTTCAGATATGCCACTGAGTTTATTCATACAGATCTGAGCATTCCATCTGTAATTGAAAGTTTGAATAAATTATACTGAACTTGCAAATGAAACTAAGTTTATTCCTGAAGTTATAATGCAATTAGTTATTAATTCAGCAAGGTGTTTAAGCACCTTTTAGTTCCTTTGAAGTCAATTAGACTGTTCCCAGGTTTACAGTTATGCCTGCATTTAAAAGTTTGTTGTTGAACAAAGCTTTATTGATTTAATTTTTAAAGTTAGTACCAGAAATTAAATGTTAGAAACTTTTACCAGGGCTCCCTGAAATCAAAATAATGATTGAATTATTGTGTGAGTTGAGGTAAAATGCAAAAAAAAAACCCTAATCTATAACTTAAATAAAAAGTAGACCAGATGCAATTTTTTTCCATTCATTGCTGATAACTGACTGTAGTCCAGATTCTATACTGCTGATGGGTTGCTGGGTTATTGGAAGGCTAGCTGTTCCTATTTTATCCCTTTCTCTGCCTTCTCTGGGAAAAGATTTGCAAGTAATTTGACAGAATCCTTCCAGGAAATAAAATTATAGTCTAGGCACCCTGAAACATGGAGATGAACGAATTCACATTGCTGTAAACACCATGGAAGTTAAGCTGTAACAAGAAGGCTTTGGAGCCTTTTTGCAAGATTTCGCACAGGTGGAAAAGGTAGCAAACGTGCTCTTTCCTCTTGTAGGAATATGCTGTAACAGCCAGTGGTTGGTGGTAAAATGGCATAGTGAAGATATGGTGGAGGAGTTCCCTTTCACCCAAAGCATCAATGCCATATGAACTGACAAAGATCAAGAGCACGCTACATGCTTCATAACAACGTAGTGAATTATTTGGTAACCTGGGGTATGAGAACCAGAATATGGTAAATACAGCTACATTGAATCAGACAGCATTGATTCTCTGTCATTGCTGAGGGTGACAAACACAAAGCATCCTCTCAAAAAAGCTCTGGATCCCCCCAGTCCCCAGGGTTGCCTGGATGTTCACAGCAGTGAGGCAGCGGAGTTAATCCTGGAGTGACGAGGTTTCTCAGAGCAGAAGAGAAACAAGCCTTGTCTTTATAGAAGCAGAATGAGTATATCATAGACCCTCCCAGAGGAGAAAGGTACATTCATCAATAGAGCAACAAAAGTTTTTGGTAGGCCAGACAGGTTTGTCCCTTCACAAGACTTCACAGGCCAAAGCAAAGCAACATCTCTCCTTCCCTCCTCTGGCCTCTATTCTTTCATCCTACAGAATTTGCTCTTTCCCATTGCCCTCACCCAGTGATGGATACATTTTCAGTGTGAATGCGATGGTACAAAGGATAGCTTCACATGAAGTGAGAGTTTACACCATACTAGCTGATGTTAATGGGGAAAGTGCCCTTCTCTCCATGTGGTGAATAGTAGCCAAACAGAGCACAAGGCTGTCAGCACCGACTGATCTCCTGTCAGCCACGTAGAAAGGCAGGACTGAAAAACAAACCTCTGCCACCTGCAGTTTGCCATGTGTTCATTACACTTATAGTTTCCAAGTAGAAATGCAAAATCAGCCAGTCCATTTTTTTGCTCTCAGGCTATCTTTGCTGCACCTTTTATATTCATATTCAAGTATCCACTTCCTTATATTTCTGTTTATATGAGCAATGAACTCTTTTATTTGGGTTATTGCAATCTGAGAGCTAATGATGCAGCCTGCTGCCAAAAGAAGATGGCTTCTAAATGAATTACTTCAGATATTTTGTTTTTAAGCAGGAAGTATTTTCAAAGGGTCCAGGGGAGGGCCATGAAAATGATCAGAGGGCTGGAACACCTCTCCTACAAAGAAAGGCTGAGAGCAGTAGGGTTGTTTAGCCTACAGAAGAGAAGGCTCCAGGGTGACCTCATTGCAGCTTTTCAATGCTTAAAGGGGGCTTATAAAAAAGATGGAGAGCAACTTTTTGTTTGGGAAGATAATGACAGGACAAGGGGGAGTGGTTTTTACCTAAAAGAGGGGAGGTTTAGATTCAAAGTTAGGAGGAAATTCTTCACTCAGAGGGTGGTGAGACACTAGAACAGGTGCCCAGAGAAGCTGTGGATGTCCCATTACTGAAGATGTTCAAGGCCAGGCTGGATGGGGCTTTGGGCAACCTGATCTAGTGGGTGGCATCCCTGCCAATGGCAGGGGGGTTGGAGCTAGGTGATCTTTAAGGTCCCTTCCAACCTGAGCTATTCTATGATTCTATGACTGTTGAAGTGCTATTGGAAAACTCTTCAGTACTTTTAATTATTATTATTTTATATTCTTTAACCAAATACATTAGAAGTCCCTTATCTTAAGGGATCCCATGAAGGAAAATGTCATAGCTTAGTGCATGTACCTAAGCTTTTCCTTACTGAAGTCCCTTTCCTCACTGTTTTGGCCTTCATTTTGTTTGTCTAAAAACTGAAGACCTCTGGCTCCCTGAAGAACCTCCATTCAGTTTCATGGGCCTCTCCTCAAGGGTTGTAAGTGACTAGATCTAAGTTTTATGTCTCAGTCTCTCTTCATGTAATCCTTGACCTCAAAGCCAAGTGGTACATAATAGTCAACACTGTTCAGGTTGGTTCTGCTAGAGTGGGTTGAGTATGTTAACAGTACATAGCAGTTGGTGCTCCTCTCCTCTGCATCTCATTTGGGTCTCATATGGTGCTCTATGACCTTACTGAGGCTTGATTTGAAGATTTATGGAGTTCAAACTTATGTTTTGCAGCAAATCAGAAAATTATTTTTGTAACAAGAATCATGAGGGGTGTTATGAGCCTTGGGATGTGGTATGAGAATACGTGGTGTTGCCTAAAAATGTAGAACTTGTTGGAACCAAGTTGAAGAATGACGTAGAGCAGAGAGACCCAAACTTGATCTGGATCTTATAAAGTGTCTCAGTTTCCGATGGAAAAAACTTGATTTCAGAGTGAACTCATCAGAGAATGAATTTACATTACTGATACAGAGAAAATTGTCACTATTTCTTGCAGGCTGCCATCTTTCCCTATTCACAAAGGATCGTAGCAGGAGAATGGGGAATTTCAAAACTCTTTATCAGTTTTTAAGGGCAGTGGGCAGCCAGGAAGGAGAGGTTGGCTTCCAGTGTTGTGGTTCCTGTGCAAGAGAGATGTCAATAACTGTGTGTGGACTAGTCCTAGTCATAGAAACAGGAGCACTGGGAAGGGCTACAAGTTTTGCTGTATGGATCATGCAACACTCACATTGGCAAGCAGATGAAAATCTATTGATGAAGGACTTCAGTGTCTACAGAAACAGAAGTCTTAACAAGAAGTCTTAATTTTTCTGGTAGGAATCAGATGTGAATGAAGAGAGGTGAAAATCCATATAAAATTAAATTTTTTTACAGATAGATGATTGGAGTATATCTCAGAGCTTTCCTGCCCTCCCTCCCACATACGCTGTCTGTCTCTTCAGTCAGTAAGCTCTTGAGTTTTTGCTTAATTCCCAGTAAAAAGGGTCCATATATCCTCATTAGGCACTATATTAGACTAATTATACATAATTAATATGCATAACAAACTCAGTTTACTTCACCTTAATGGAATTCGTGAAAGCCCTCACACAACAAATGTTAAGGCTCAGAAGAACTGATGAGGGCCTTTTCTCCCAGACTTCTGGGCCACCACCAGCTCCAGCCCAAGGGAGCTGTACCCACTGCAAGGGCACAGCCCTGCCTGGAGGAGGGCACAGCCCTTGGAGCAGTCCTTTCTAATGTCCTGGCAGCTTCAAACACAAGTGCAAGAAGCATGGGTCTGTCTGCAGCAGGCTGGGCAGATGTACTGCTTCCCAAAAGGGAGATTAACCAACCCTTGCCAGGCTCAGCAAAAGCCATGATGGTAAACAGGAGGGCAAAGCTAAGGGAGAAAAAGTGCATCTTTCCATCAAACAAGTATGTCCTCACAGTGGGACTGAGGGAAAATTCAGACAAACATCTGTTTACCCTGTAGTTAATAGTGCCTGATACCAGGATGGGGAAGGTCCCTCCAGAAAGCTTCTCATGCTTTATGTTGCAATGTAAGCAACGGCCAAAGTAGACCAAAGTAAGCAGCAGAGACTTAGCAGTATTCAACAAGTAAGGGAGTGTCTATGAGGGAAGCATCATGTAGAATAAAAGGCCCCTCTTCCTTCCCCATATTTCCTCACACTTCTGGGATGCTGGCACATACACTCTTATTCCTGCTACAGGGTCTCAGCTGCCTGAGGGGCAAGAAGCCATGCAATTAAGCTACCACATTTTCAGAGATTTCTCATTTTTCAAGCTATAAGACACATTTCTTACAGATGGTCTTGATAGCCTTCATCAAGGCCTGAGTCAGGCACTGTCTAATGAGGCCAGGTGTGCCTGATCAGTTGTATTCTTTCACAAACTGGTGTTTGCACATCCAAAAAGAGTATACTTGAGAAGTTAATCTAAGCCTTGGCAAGAGATTTGGTGTGTGTGTGATTTCTAAGGGCTTGATAGAAAACCCTTCCCACCTTTTGCAGGGTTTTTAGAATCCATCAAGACTGGGATCTCCTTTGCTTGATACTAGCAGTGCTATCCATTTTCTCAGGAGCAATCCATTTTCTCCTGTTTCCTTGAATGTGCCAACCTTTTTGCACTGTCTTTTCTGCACTTTCTAGGGAACTGAAAAATTGTTCCAATAAAATAAAAAAGTGCAGCTGTGGACATCAGACATAAAAAGACCATGGACACAATACTGCAGAATCAGTGAATTACCTAACTACTTTTTTTATATTCCTTTGCACTTGTAGAACTGCTGACCCTGCTTGAGTTGAGAAAGGTCATTCACTGACCTCTAAAATGGAAGCCCCCATGAAATGTCCATCCAGGCTAGAAGCACAGGTGAGCAGTTTTGCACCCTTCTTTCACCCTTACATCTTTTAGCTCATCGCTTACTTTTCTAAGATGGCTACCTATTCCTTAACTATAAAGCCAAGGTGTTATTTTCAAAGAGAACTAACTCACACAAGTGAACGTGAGCTGGACAAGTCCTGGAGCTGGGGCTCCCCTCTCTGTACTCCAACTCTGGTGCTTCTCACAAAACAAGGTACAGCTGATCTTCAAAAGTGGCTCCCACTGCTTGAGGTCTGGCTTTTTAAAGTAATTTGGAGACAATTTAATTCCTGTTCTTCTAACAGATTCACACTATTTCTATTTAAGAGTAAAGACATGCCTTAATGCTAGCTCTTCACTGATGTGTGCATTGTCTTCTCTTTCTTTCCTTAAATATTATATAATTGAAAGCTAAAAGACCAATACAGTAGAAGTTAAGCTGTCGTGGCCCATGCAGTTATTATATATAAGTGTTGCCATTATGTAAAACTGCAGTCATTATGTGTAATTACCAAGGAAGTTGTATAACAAAGGAAGAGGTCTATCTTACAGAAATAAAAATGCTATCCTGGAGATCGCTATTGACACACAGCCTGGTGAGACCTGCGACTAGACCATGCTTCTTTCCTTTCATTTCTCTAACCAATTTTTTCAGAAAGCCAAGATGTAAATTAAAAGCACACTTCTTTAATTAAAGGCATTCAGCATCCCTAGTGGGAAAAAAGTGGCATTTAAATGCAAAATCAAAATCAACTTATGGATTGCCTCCTTCCCACTGTCCCAACTCTCCAGGTGCAATGAAGATGTCATTTTCTGCCCTCTGTATTCCTATTCTCAGCACAATAAAAGTGAAATGATAGTTATTTACCAGTGTTTTGTTAAAATGTCAAACTGTGTTGCAAGCAAATTGATTTCAAGCCAGTTCAGTTGAGTTCAACTCAGCAGGATGTGATGTCATCTTTCTGCTTGCTGCTCCTTCTTTGAAAAGCCACAGCAAGACTGATGAGGAGTGATGGACTCACTGTAATTAAAAATAATACAGCCACAGGCAGCAAATTTAAATAGGAACCATGGACAAAATACTGCAGTCAGAGTGAAGGCCTCTGGACCCAAATGCAGTCATGACTTGAGCAGCTCAGGAGCAACTGAAGCTGATGGGAATTTCTTCAGCAGAGCCTGAAATTCATATGGTGCCAACAGGGTCTAATGTTCATTCTAGGTTTTGTCAGTGAAGCTTTGGGTCACCAGAAGCTTCTGTCAGTGAAGCTTTTGGGTCCCATGATGAGGAAAGATTGCCATGTTAGAGGGCATAGCAAAACAAGACACCTACCCCTGGTCTTCACATGAAGCTGCCTAATAAGGCAGAGGATGTTGATAAAGCCAGGTTGCAAGTCATCTCAAAAGCAGCCACTGATAACTCTGTTCTTATACATCCCCAGATAACACCCAGAACTCTCTCAGATGACATTCATCTTCATCTGGCATGGACACAAATTAATGGGTGGTAAGGAAGCTGAAACAGAGACCAGTACAAGACCTGGCATGTAAATCACCCAAGGTTGTGCTCTCCTCATGCTTCGAGACGTAGCATGATCCAATGCAATGATCATGCTGGATGTGAAGAACACTTAATGTCTTTTAATTAGGTTTTGAAGTAATGCATGCCAACACCCTGTAACTACTTCAGCCTTGACTCATTCGTGAAGATGCATGCCATATGTAAGAGACCAACATAAAAAGGATGACCCCAAAACTAACACATTTCACTGTTGACGTATGCTTCTTTTTCAGACTGTGAAGCTCAGCTGACATGCTCAATGCCTGCCTGCATGACACAGGCTGTCATTATTCATTATGGACTTGGTCTCAGTACTGTGACTCCAGGAAGCAAGTGTTAATTGGTGTGAACAAAAATGAAGGTTTTGACTTCTTGTAAACAACAGACAAAGGGCTTTGCAATGGCTTATCAGACAGACAGACTGGAACAGAGCTCTCTGTTATTAGCATTACTTCATCTGAAATGCTTTCAGCTTGGGAATTTGGGGGAGGGAATAGCAGACTCAAGTTTAGAATGATAACTCTATATTTGACTGTTGTTGCAGAGGGATATGTTCTCTATTAAGGAGGGTCTTCCAAGGCAAACTGGGAGATGTAGGGTCCCAGCTTCACACAGAGCAAGTCACTTCACATTCCTGCACCTTTTCACCTCTTTTTAATCCCTCTCTCTTTTTAAACTTCTATGACCAATGGTCTTTTTTCTCTATATATTTTTTTGGACTTATAGAGCACCCATTTCCACTGGATGTTTTAAGGCGATACTTTGATAGAATAGTTTATTTGAGCATGAAGCATCTTCACCACCACTCTGGTAGCCAGTAGTTTAAAATTTGCATGTTATCAACTGTATTTACTGCATTTACTTTATCATGGAAAATGCATTAACAATTACAAACCATCATTTTATGGAGAGAAAAGCTTGTGGCTTTCCACATGGTACAAATGTGTGAACCTTGTCAATTCATTTCTCTCTCAGGCTACTGTGCCAAGACACTTACACCTTGATGTGAAAATCAATTGATGCATCTAACAAGTGTTTACTTCTTCTCCAGCAGTAGCTGAGGAGGGTCAGAAAAATTAGATGTTAACATTAGACATTTTTACAAATCAGCATCTTGGAGCAATTTGCACCTGAGTATTTAGAGTAGGTAGTAAGACTCTGGCTAGGAAGTCCAGTAAAGCAACAGATGGTTCACCCATGTCTTTGGCAGGAGAACCTCCAAAGTGGGTGAGTGTAGGAGGATGTCATTTTGTGGGCACCTTCTTGGCCAGGGAGGAATTAGCCTCACAAATATTGAGCTGAATTTTTTTGAATACTCCTCACAAATATTGAGCTGAATTTTCCAGGACTATCTGTTTAGTCCAGGACTATCTAAACAGATAGTCCTGGACTAAACAGATAGTACTGGAAAACTCCATTCCAACTCAGAGCTTGCCCACTTGAGCACAACTTGAGCACCAATGATTATTCCAGTTACATGAAACACCACATGAGTGAGATCTGACCATGTTTCTTCAGGAAATTCAGGATGTGCTGACTAACTTCACCATTTTGTATCAGCACCCATGTGTCTGCAAAGAGAGGGAATGCTTTCCCCTGCATTTACTGTGTATTCCTTGTATTTTGTCTGGAGCTGCGATAGATTCCATATGGACATTTTCCCTTTCAGCTGCTTATAGATTCAGGTCTTCTGAGGTGGCTCTTCCAAGTCTAGGCATGAGGCCTACTGATAGTTACTACAGAGAAAGTCCCACCAGCTGTCATCTAGCAGCATTTTTTAAACAAGTGAAATGTTTCATGAGCTAGTCAGAATCAGGCTGGATTCTGACCTCAGTGACATGAAGGTAAACCAGGGATATCTGCTATGCTGAGGCAGGGCTTGTCCTGAGCACTCATGTTGGCAGCAAAAACCTGCTCTCCACCAATAGTCACTATAGCTAAAATAAAACCTGATGGGGGAAACTGCATTTGTTCGAGGATAAAGACATACAAGGCAAGATAAACCAGCAATTCCTTCCCTGACTCTTCCTCACAAAACCAAAAAGTTAAGTGGTACCTTTAGAAAATAAAAATTATGAGAGGGCCTTGCAGGGTTTACAAGAGATTTGGTCTGAAACAAATCAGATCGGCTGCAGTTTGCCAGCCAAATAAAGCCTGCGACCGGTGGGCATGGGAGAAAGAGAAAGGCAGTGGAGCTATCTGGGGGCTAACAAAGAACAAATTGCCAGCTCTCAGGCTGAGCTCAAAGTAGAGGTTAATGAATGATGTGGGTAGAGATGGACATTGAGCAATGGGCAGAATGGAAAAACAAACAAACAAACAAACAAAAAACAGTCAGAGTAGGTCTCCATTATTTTGAAAAGACAGAAAAGGGCTGTGTGAGAACAAAATATCTTGCTGATTTGTAGAGAATACAAAAGCATCACAAGTGTTTTTTCCTGACTCGGTACATACCTGCTCTGAACTGGTTTACAGAGCTAATGAACAGTTATCTTTTTCAAGACAGGAAATCAGTCAAAATGTAGAGGACAGCAAGTTATATCTTATTGAAGGAACAGATGATAAAGGAAATTAGTGGCAATGAACACAAAGTTTATTTACAAAGGAGCCAAATCTAATCCGTCTCCTTGTCCTGAGAAAAATCTCACTACAGATTTCCCAACGCTCCCAAACTGCTTGCTAGACAGACCTTTACCTAAATATTTTTTTTCTCTCTCTCTCTCTTTTTTTTTTTTTTTTTTTTTTTTTTTTTTCTTCAGAGTAACCCTACAAAGACTTCTCTACTATCAGTTTCAATGAGCCTTAGTTTAAGCCTAGGAAATATTTTTTTTCCTATGCCATACATTCACATGTGGATGCATACAATATTAAAATAAAAACACCACCACATTTCTTTTTCACTTTTCAAGTCTGACTGAAAACCCTTCACTTGTGCAATGTGGATATACCAAAATTCCCTTAGGCATGGTAATCTGTATTAAGCCAGATGCCAGACTGGATCCTAGGTCTGCGGTGCAACAAATGATGTTTCCCACTCCATGATCCGAATCACTTGATCCCATTCACAGTGAGGTCCAGGCATTACTAAGCGGCAGCAGTAAACTATTATTATTATTATTGTTATTATTATTAGTGATAATAATAATAATAACAATATTCTAGCTGTTATTCTAATTCTATTTGCACAAATTTCTTTGGGGGTTAAATGATTGAGTTAATGGGATATCGTGATTCAGTCACTGCATAACTGTTGAAATTGTAGATGGTTGGAGGCTTTGTGATAGGAAACATTGTCACGTTTCCAGCTTTTTCTTTCACACTTATCTTCTCCAGTTTTATTTACGTAGACCTTACCTGAATTTGGGGCAAAAAGTTGTCACAAGTAGCTTCACTCCAAAGGACAACACTTTGTTAGTATTAAATCCATTATTTTTGTTTTAAATAAATGGAGAAAAAAAGTACAGATGGTCATCTGATTGTAACACTCCTATAAGAGCATAAGATTGGCAGGAAAGTTGATGTTCACATATGTCTGTTCTCACTATAATCAGGTACTTTATCAGAAATTAATTTAATACTAACTTTGATGGGATTAAAGAAAGACACAAAAAAATTACACGTCTCATATCCTTAGCATTCATCAGGCTCATCCTCCCCAATGCAAATTGTCGGTGATAGATTATAAAAAACTTGTTTTTATATATCTGCCTACAAATCATGATCAAAGTAGAGTTCTTGTACAAAATCACTGAGAACTAGTAGATGGATACACCCAGCTCTTGAACAGTCTGATCCCAGAGCATCTGTGTCGATCCCCTGCTAACAAACAACACCTTCTTGTAAGGCACACACTAGTTAGTAGATCATACCTGTTAAGTCAGGTGGAATTGGTCTCACCTCACTAAAGAGGTCTCTGGTGCAGACACCCCTATCTGACATACCTATCAAGGCTCCCTCAATAGGCAAGGGATACTGATTTACTGCTCTAGAAGGAGATATTTTTTCCTCTTTTAACTTAGGATAAGTGACCATGCCTTCCTATTGTCTATAAGGAGAGCATGTTTAACTTAAACTGGATTCCTAGCTTTGGTCAGTTGAATGAAATGAATCTATGATAAAAGTATGGGAAATACTGACTTTTAAAGTTCACCTTACAGCTTATAGAGACAGCAGACGGTGTCTGAGCCTTGGTGTGATCTTCTCTTCATACTTCTTCCATGTTCTGCAAATCTCATCCTTTTGTTTACCTAAGATGGACACTTCTTCCTAGTACTTCTCCAGAACAGATCTTTCTCTTTCACTTCTTACCCATGTGCTATTCTTCAGATCGAGGCATTTGTGTTTGATTGATTGTTTGTTTGCTTTTCTTTGAGAAGCTGTCGAGGTTTTTGTCACAGATGGTATAAATTGTTGTGCCTTACCTACAAAAGCTCCTTAGTGAGCACTAGGATGAGCACATGTGCTTGACAGTTAATAGGTTCAGAAGTAAACTAAGGGTCCAATACGCTTCAAGCAACAAAGCTGAATTGGTGCTTCTCTCTTTCCTGGAAGAAATATGGGCTTTTTTCAAAGTTAAGTTTGTACCCAAACAAATTATGAAAAGAATATGACTCTCACTCAGCTTAATTTCTTTCAGCCAGATGGTGAAGGCAGCCACTCTCAAAGAAGGTCACAAGCTCCTTGTGGCTAAGAGTAATCTAGAATCCCCTTACTCAGGACTTCAGTAGATTAGCAAATACAGCTGTATAAGCAAATACCACTGGCACCGAGTATTTGAAGAATAAGTAATGAGCATTATATTCAGTAATGCTTATCATAGGCTCAGAACATAGATAATATAATTCCAGAGATAAGTCGCTTTCTCAGAACAAAGTCACTTTCTTTTATTTGTCTACAGTGCATTGCATTCCCCATTAGGCTCAGTGCGTGGCCTAAGTAGCTATGAGGTTTAACTTAGGATTTATTATCCACTTCTTTTTAAGACCTAAACCTGTAATGAAAACTGGATCATGCTACGTCTCATTTTAATATAAATGCATATTAAAAAATAGGACTATAAAGTAGAAGCCGTCTGCTGGCAGTGAGCTGCGGTCATGAAACCATTTGCAAGTGCCTTAATTGAATAGCTAACACTCCAAGAATAGCAGGTTGATTCCTTTCACAGCATGTGTCGCACCAGCTGTGCAGGAAGAGGTGGTGGGGTCATCTGCAAGTTAATTTACAAACAAAACCAGTTATATATCAGCATTTCCACCACAAACAGCTTTTCCACAACAGTTACATCCTCTTCAAATATTCTCATGCAAAACTGTACTGAAAAGATATCTTGGGCTTTCTCCACTGCTAAAATACACCAAGTAGTCAGGCCTTGTGTTATAGCAATTCACTGCCATACTCAAGTAATTTATCCCATGAGCAACATGACTTCTTTATCTCACTCATAAAAGGTGCCCTGGGAGTGCTGATACCATCAATTTTTCAAATAGGACTCCCAGATGTTGCATGAGGTCTGGGTGGGTCTGTGAAGTAGGAGATTTTGACAATTTCTTTTAAGTTTTCCTTGCTGTGGGTGTTTATATTTATCAAAATTAATTAATTCAGGAGTTGTGTCTTGCATGCACAAATCTTCCATTCATAAGTTTTAGTATAAGTCTGGACCATGATGCTCCTCACCAGCTTATTGCTGTGTTTAAATTCTTGTAGTGCCTTAGGCATGTGGACCCTGACAAGGAGAAATTCCTGTGCAGGATCAGTGAACTCTCAGGGTCATCTATATTCCCTGCTCTGCTGTAGATTTGCTCTGTGGCTTCTTTTAACAAGTCCCATTCCTGTTCTTCCTGTGCTGAAAGCCTCCCAGCTTACAGGTACTTACCAAGCTTTAAGGTTTGCCACAGCTTAATTTAGCTGTTCTTTGGATGTTTGGGTGCAAAGTATATAAGAATTGCAAAGTTTGTTGATGCACCATCCACCACAATGCCACAAAGGTCCCATGTCTGGGACCTTTACTCCTGGACTGTGGAACATACACACCAGCATTAGAACTGAAGGTATTCTGAATGACTGTCTTTCAGATGCCAAGTTGTCACCGTGCATTGTGATTTAAGAAGGTATGACAAATGTTTTACAAGATTTTTAATGGCTGTTAAATCTAGAGTGCTGGATGTATTCCAGTTCAGGTAATTACATTCAGCCTGCTTAAAGACACTTTAACGGGATAGATCATTCCTCACTGAGCCTCCAGTATGGAAAGAATGAGAGAAACACACAACACTGCTGACATCCAGGGAACAGAGGAATGCAAGGGAATTTCTCAAGTAGGGGAGAAAGGAGATGCATATATTTGTATATCTTTGTGTATATTGGCTGAGAAGAAGGAGCCCTTGGAAAGTGAAATAAACTTACTCTAGAAAAGCAGGAAAACTATTTTCTGTGGAGATGTTGTAAAAAGTGAATTGAATGCCAGACCAAAATTTAGGGAGCTGTGTGAAACTCAGCAGACAGTTGATGCCAAATTGCTTGTTTGTTACTAAATTATAAACATGTAGTATTTTGAAAGTTGCCATTTCAAACATCAAGCTCCAGCCTAGAAAGCCTCGGGATGTTTTCCAAAGAAATAAGAAATCAGGCTTGACAAATGTTATCTTCTGTTTTTGAACTCCATAGACATTTCTGGATTGTGCTTTCATAAAAGGAGGTTTATTCTCATGCTTTTGTGAGTGCCAGACTTTTAAATTTGGTAAATGTGATAGCCCTGAAGGGCTCCTTATACAGCAATCAGTTAGTTCTTCTTTTCTTACAGCTGGTCTATCTTTCTGCCACAAATTCATTTTCTTTTCTTACTGAGGAAATGGAGATGTATTCACAGATCTACAACCACAAATTAATTTGCAAGAAGAGTTTGACTGATTTCAGTAAATTGGATAACACCTATTAGTATGAAAGAAGCAGGAATTGCTGGCCTTTTAGGCAATGCAGTAGATAACATCTGTTTTGATGTAATTTTGAGGACTGAAGATATGGGAACTTGGTGAGCATTTTTAACGTTGCTGACTGTCTATCACTTGTATAAATGGTTAATTTTTAATAATTTGTTCATTGCTAGTGGTAGACAGAGCAATCAGAGACAAAGCACATAACACTAATCAATCATCCCTCTATTGCAGTGATTTCAGAGTAATTTTGTCTCTATCAGCCATGATTACCGTTCCTGATTGGCTCTGAGCAATGCCTACACCTGGCATATCCACATTCTTATGCCCATTTGTTCACACTCTCTCTTATTTTCCATTACTCACCTACTTTACTTACTGCTGACAGATTATGCTATTTTATACTATTAGCTATTTAATATAGCCTACACCCTACAACCTTGGCTTGATTGAGAATAATATATATAATTGTATTAGAAATGATAAATAATCTGAAGAAGCTAGTTAAAATGGATGCTCGACTCTAATATTAATTTTCCCAGGTTAGTTTTACCCCATACACACTGGATACCTTGTGTTGTTCAGGGAAAGAGCAATAGAGACATTTCTAGCCTCTGCGGGAAATTAAGAATCCTCTAGTGAGGATCCTCCTGCTCTGAAAACAGTCTTTCAACTAAACATGTATTGGAGTTGTTGAAATCTTAAAATGGCTTTACTCCCAAGATGTCATCCTGTCTGGTGGCAATCTTGGAGGGCTTCACACCTCACAATAGATTATGATTTAGATAAAGAGGTGGGCTAGTTGTGATGTATTACCCTCTAAGGAAGGTTCTGTCTTATTTAATCAGACAGAAGATAGGTTAGGCAGGTCTTTCAGCCCTGTGACCTTCTGAACACAAATTATTTCCAGATAAATAAAGAGCCTCCTCAGAGATTTTTCTTCTAGAGGTTTCACAAATACTTTTAATCCTATTACTTATCATCTGGAAAGCAGCTTAATTCTTGGGAGCAGACATGAAAACACTGTTTAAAATTGAATTATATAGTGAATATGCCACTATAAATTACATAAAATTATTACTATTATATATAATTCAGATCACTATATTGTGAATATACCCTTATATGTAGTAAATACATATTTAAGGTCTTTATAAATGATCTGAGTGATGAGGGAAGAGTGTACTCTCAGCAAATTAGCAATTTGCAATTTGCAATTGTGTATCATGCAATTTGCTGATGACAGAAAATGGGGGGAGTGGAGGATACACCAGAAGGTCATGCTGCCACCCAGAGGGACCTCAACAAGCTGGAGAAATTGGTTGATAAGAACCCCAAGATGTTCAACAAGTGCAAAGTCCTGAACGTGGAACGGAACAACCCCAGGCACCAGTGCATGCAGAGGACTACCCATCAGGAAAGGAGCTCTGCAGAAAAAGACCTGGGAGCCCTGGTGGACACCAAGCTGAACATGAATCAGCAGTGTGCCCTGGTGAAAAGAAGGTTCCTATGAAGAAAGGCAGAGAGCTGGGACTGTTTAGCTTGAAGAAGAGAAAGCTTGGGGGATCTTATCAATGTCTATAAACAACTGCAGGGAGACAGCAATGGCTGGAGCCAGGCTGTTTTCATTGGCACCCAGTGACAGGACAAGAGGCAATGGGCACAAACTGGAACACAAGAGGTTTCAATGTCAGGACCTTTACTGATGCAAGTCACTGGGCACTGGTATAGATTTTCCAGAGAGGTTGTTCAGTCTCTGTCCTCTGAGACATTTAAAAGCCATCTGGAATTGGTCCTGGTCAACCTGTTCTCAGTGACCCTGTTTGACCCTGTTGACCCTCCAGACGTCCCTTCTAATCTAAACCATTCTTTTATTCTGTGTTATTTAATCTTTATTTTCAAAGTAAGAACTAATTCAGAATTTGGGATTATAGAACATGATTCAAGCCTATTACATCAGTATCAGTCATGAACAAAACTATGGTTTTATATTGCATTTGCCCCAGAGTAAAATGTCCCAACTCTGTGCTGGAATTTAGTTTTTTATTGTTCTCCTGGTATCTAAGGATCTCAGGACATCTAAGTGCATTAATGGCATCTAAGGGCAACAGTAGTGCCAAATATCTTAGCAATCTCTTTCACCTCAGACCTCCCCTAATTGTCACAATATGTTATCTGGCTTACAGCCTTTCATAAGCTGGCTTATAGACTTCTTCTTGTTCTGCTTTTGGCTAGGATAGAGTTAAATTTCCTCCTAGTAGTTGGTATGGTGCTGTGTTTTGGATTTAGAATGAAAATACTGTTGATAACACACTGATGTTTTAATTGTTGCAGAGCAGTGCTTACACTAAGCCAAGGACTTTTCATCTTCTCGCTCTTTCCTGCCAGTGGACAGGCTGGGGATGCAATGGGAGCTGGGAGGGGACAGAGCCAGGACAGCTCACCACAAGTGGCCAAAGGAATATTCCATACCATGTGATGTGTTGTGTCCTGGTTTTAGCTGGGATAGAGTTAAATATCAGAAAAATAAAAACTGAGCAATTGTGATAAAACAAAACAGTGATAGATGGGTGCACACACAGCACACATACGTGATGGAGGCAGGGATAAAAATATAATTGTAAAACAAATAGTGAGAAGCATAATTCGAAAGATGATAACGAAATAAAATATTGGAATTTGTACCTGTTACCAATTGAGACAGATACCACTGTGGCAGGCTCCAGTGTGGCCTTGTCACAATCATCTTGGGAACTTTTACTCAGGAAAGTGGTTTACATTTTTAATTCAGTGTTATTAATTCATTATTAATTCAGCGTTAGTATTCCCCCGTAATGATTTGGCCAGATACCACTCAGATCTAGAGCAGCACATGCCGTTGCTGACCAAGAACCAGAAACTGCTTGGAACCACAACATGATCTCTCATGTTTTACATCCATTCAGCTTTGAGTGTAAAATAACATCACAGGTGCCATGAGAAACGTGGGATCAAGGATCCATTCACTTCCTTGCCTATGTATAATCAAACTCAGACAAGCAGCCCTTCAGAGCCTGCCCTTTCACTCTTCTCAGTCTCTTTTCACAAATGTTAAAGGTGAATGGTGGCCCCCGGGGACTCCTCCTGTCACCCCAGTGCAGCAGCCCAAAGGGAGCTGGGTCCTCTCTTGTGCTCTTCCTAGAGGCTCTGTGCAGAAAGGGCTGCCACCTCTCGCACAAGGGCTGGGGGATGGGAAAGAAGCACTCACACAACCCCTGAGAATTGGCAAGAGTCTTTATTGCCAGGACATCTTGCAGGCAAGCCTGCAGGATGTCCATTGTTTTTGGTGGCTCCAAGCTAATGCTTGGCATGGAGCCTGCGCGATGAGTAGGGAGCTCGCTGGGCACTGCTGCGATGCTGTTTGAGCTCTCTGATGGCAGAGAGCGATGACAGGCTGGGGTAGGTGCAGGTCTGCTCTGGCTGAGGTGGATCCACTTCCATCAGCTCTTCCTCATCTCGTGGATCCAGCTCCATGGGCTCCACGGTGTTTGGCAGCAGGACAAGCCAGTCCTTGCCTGGGACTGCCCAGATGGGATGCCTTCTGTCTGGAATGTTTTCAGGCCAGGGTGCCGAACCAGGGGGTCTTCCAGTTCCACGCTGAGGTCCCATGCCACTGTCCAGTTGATTTCCATGCATGGGGTCAACGTTGCCATCTGTTTTACGGCTGTGACTGGGTCCCACGCTGTGTTCGGGATTATGGGCACGCCTGATCTCCCCACGGCTGTCCAGCTGATGGTCCTGCCTTCTCCCCACGCCACCATTGCACCAATGATTAGGCCCAGGCCCCCTGTCGCTGTATGTTTGAGGGGCTGGCCTGTTCCCTGCGACACTGCGGTGCCAATGAAATCGCCTATAAATGTCGGTGGGCTGGCCGCCAGATGTCCCTCAAGCACTGGTGTTAGGTGTGCTGCAGGTGCTTTCCCTCTGCCCACGACACTTTTTCTCACTAGGTGCGTTCCTGCTCAGTGTTTCCTCAGACTGCATTGCTGTCCTCACACCGAGAGGTCTGCTGCTCGCCTTGCTCTTTCTAGTTCTAGCCTCTGGCCTCTCATCAGTGTAACTCAGAATCATAGAAACATTAATGTTGGAAAAGCTCTCCAAGATCATCTGGTCCAACCATCACCCTATGATCAATGTCACCCACTAAACCATGTCCCTAAGCACCATGTCCAACCTTTCCTTGAACACCCCCATGGATGGTGACTCCACCGCTTCCCTGGGCAACCCATTCCAATGCCTGACTGCTCTTTCTGAGAAGAAATGTCTCCTACTTGTTTTAATTGTTGCAGAGCAGTGCTTATACTGAATCAAGGCCTTTTCAGCTTCTCACACAGCCCTGCCACTGAGGAGGTTGGGGGTGCAGTAGGAGCTGGGAGGGGACAGATCCAGGACAGCTGACCCAAACTGGCCAAAGGGGTATTGTGTATCACATGGCATCATGATGAAGATAATATGGGGGGGTTGGCCAGGGTGGGGGAGATTGCCTGCTCAGGGATAGGCTGGGCATTGGTCAGTGGGTGGTGAGTAATTGCATTGTGTTTTGTACACATTATTGGTAGCAGTACTATTATCTTTATTATTATTTTCCTTTCTTTTCTGTCCTGATAAGCTGTCTTTATCTCAACCCATAGATTTTAATTTCTTTCTAGTTCTCTCCCCCATTCCAGAGAGGGAGGAGGGAGGGTGAGAGAATGGCTGCTGGCTGGGTTAAACCACAACACTTCTGCAGAGAACCAACTAGCTTTGTCTGAGTGGAAACCTACAAATAAGTGTAGGGACCATGGACTAGAAGGATGACTACTCTTAAGATATGTGCTTGAGAGCACACAAGAATTTCTTCCCTCTGCATTTATCTGCCATCAGACCTTGAGACCTTCCATATCTTTCTCAACCTTGCTTTGGGACAACACAGACTCATGGCCTCATGACCCCAATATTACTAAGGGCCCTTTGAACTGAAAAGCCACAGAAAACCCTTACAGCTTGACACTACTGCAAGAGGCTCAGTGAACACTGCCTAGTGTTAAACCCCAGCAGTGTGGGTGTAGTGTATAGCTTGGTCAAGGAACCACCATTGGGGTGGTTGTCTCATGGAAAGGACACCCAGTATTTAAAGGTAGACATCATTTTGTATACCGTTTCAGAGGTGGTGTGTTGCACCTCCTGTAAAAGGCAGGGAAAGGAAAATACATGTATATCAGGGCATTGAAAATTGTGCTACAGTCAAAGAAAATATTTTCCTGCCAATTCTCCATCCCTCTGTCCTTCAAATCCTGTCAGTCAAAGTAAACATAATACTGAATACTTATCTCCTTTACCATTGGTATATAGTGTTGTAATTAAAAGAAGTGGAATGAGATGTTGGGGGTGCTGTAGACAGTTGTCTTCTGAAGTTTGAATAAAGAGTTTGAGGTTGAGAAAATAATGCTTTTTAAAGTTTTTTCGGGACACAAGAAAAATAGTTCATTTCCTAATACTGCTTAATAAGTATCTAAATCCTATACCTCAGTGTTTCGTCCCAGTCATCCAAACCCCTTCTCCCTTTAAAATTATGTGCAATACTTCAACCTTATGAGAAGGAGAATAAAGTGTGAGCAGTAGCCACAAAGAGTTCTGATGCTATTTTAGTAAATACCTAGATATGTTTTAATCTGGATGACTCATATTTACGTACGTCCCAATACATCCCATGGGGGATTGGAGTAAACATTTCTTAGCAATTACCATAAAATAATTGAATGGCAATCAACCTTATGAAAAAGAGATGTTTTAAAGGCATCTTTGCTATGGCCTCAGACTGAGGTTTAGAAACATTTTATGAAAAAGGAGAAAGAATAGGATCAGTTGTAGGCATGTGGGATTTGCTCATTTCTTGGCTGTAGAGGAAAACAGGAACATGTAACAGCTCAGCAAGTATGTCCAAGAGTGAAAAGATATATCTGTCTGATTTCCATCCATGAGATGATGATGTTTCTTCTGCTTCATGACTCAAATACCATTGCTTGGGAAAAATGATGACTGATCTGCTGTCCAGTGTTCTGCCAACAAAAGTGTCAGCTTAATTATTTCCACTACTAAGAGAAAATAAGAACTTCAGGCCCCTGGCTCTTCTTTCTCCATTTTTTTTTTTTTTTTAACTACAATCTCTCCTAAATGCTACCTTGGTGAGGCAGTGCCATCAGCTATGCATGACAACTCTCCTCCTGCTGCCTCCTAGCTCAGAAATCACCTGAGGCAAGCAGTAATAACTCATTATCCCATATTCTGAGCATGAGCAATAATGAGCTGACTGCTCAATTAAAATCCGATGTCCTGTAATATAAACACAGTGCATGGCTTACAGAATTTAAGAATCTCAGGACTTAATTAGTACGATAAGAAATTCTGGGAACAGTGACTAATATGGAACAGCACATTGCAGCTTGGAATTAATATGTCTTATAAGTTAAGATCAGGACCTGCAATATGGTGAGACTACTATGGCTGACAGGTTGCAGAACAGGAATATGCTCCTTTCTGCCAATAAATCTAGTCCTTTGATTAGCAGAGGCCTGCTACTCACTGACTTGCTGACCAATAATGTCTTGTTATTTCTGCATTTGCCTGCATCCATCCAATAGCTCTTGTTTTGTCCTGGGTTAGCGAGTGCAGAATATGTTCTTTGGTTCTATTTTTTGTATAGCACCTAATGCATGGCTTGGTCTCCTGGGTATTGATCAAGATAAATAATGAGGCAGCCCTTGAAAAGCAGCGTAACTATGAGAGGGTTTAGCAGCCTAGAATAACAGTGAAACTGTTAATGCTCTCACAGAAGATTTTTTTTCCTAAATTAAAAGGGCTTAGAGGGGTTGGAGATAACTGAGTGGTAAGGATGGGCTTAGAGAAAGGTTTAATTACTCAAAAATAGCAAGAAAGATGGAAGTATTAATTGCAGTTATATGTCATAAGAAAGGTACTATATAAGGTTGAACTATCCTTGGGAGAGAGAGGTGGGTCAATGTGCAACTGATGTAACTCTTATGAAAGGATCAGACTGAACCCCGTGGGCTGAAGTTTTACTAGCACTGACCAAAGGAGGAAGAGAGCTGTCTGTTGCATGCTATAGCAATATTCAGGTGAAAAAAAATAAATATATATATTTATCTTGAAGAAGGATCACATGCTACTGGAGATGGTGTTGGGGTAAGGAAAGGCTGAAATTAAAGTGTTGCCACCTTCTTTTGCTCCTCCTTGTGTCACCATGGAAATGGAATTTGTAATCCTCTCAGAGGTCTGAATGAACACCTTACCTCTCCTCAGCCAGTCCTGCCTAAGGCATATCTTAAAATACATTTTTTTTTCTTTCTTTTTTCTTTTTTTTATTTTTTCACTAGATGATTTTGACAGAAATGAGCAAAAGGCAGTCTACAGGTACAGTCACACCTCATGAAAGGAGACCCATCTCCAGTGCAAAGGTTGGGATGAATATCTGGAAAAAAGGCGCCCTCAGCTCCAAAGCCGCAGCTGCCAGACTATCGTACCTGTCTAGGTATAAATTCCTGTAAGCAAATGGCTAGTATTTTTGACCAACATGGACTTCTACTCATTCAGTCAAGTGTATTTAGTCTGGGAGGTTTCAAGCGAGCTCTCAGTTCTGTGAGGCAGGACAGCCAAAGTCCTTCTTCCTTCACTGAGGCAGATGCATAGCAAAAGACCCTCATCAATCTAATTTGCAAAGCGTTGTCTGTTTTGGGGGCATTTCCTAAACAGAGACATTGTTTTGTTTTAGTTTTATGAGACAAAAATGGTGTTTTCTGTTATTTCATTCTGCATTTCTCCCCTTTATTTTAAGCACTCATTTTTTGCTTTTTAGATCATTAAAAATAAATAAAATTAAAAAAAATGTTGGAAAATAATATTCATCAAATTCTACAAGGCTGGAGGTGTGGGGTAAAGAGTTCTACTTCACTGGCTACAGTTGAAAAAGGCTTCTCCATCCTTCCTCTCTGGGAGACATCTGTCCCTATTCTAAGCAGGTCAAGGCACAAGGGTTGGGGAAAACAAGCTCCAATTCCCATCCTTATTACCACTTCAGAAATGGAAGATGGGAATGAGTGAGTTCCTTCATGTGTCAAATTTGCAATGTTTTTCATCAGATCTCTCAGGGACTGCAACACCTTATCTTTTTGTCTTTCTAAGGATGTAGCCACAGCCCTAAAATCAATTAAAGATCTTTCCACCACCCTGCCTGCCAGCTGAAAATGCTGCAGTATTTGTGCCATCCTAAGACAAGACAATTGATTCTGCAGCCAGGAAACAAATGTTATTGCTAGCTTGACCAACAGATCCCTGTATCATGAAGTTATTGCTTCAATATTTTGCACTAGAAGCAGAGATCTGCTCTCCTGTCAATGAACTAACAGAAACATTGCATCTGGCTCTTCAGCTTCAGATCACTTACAGAGCCCATTCTGTTCCCTCCTTTTTTTCTATTCTGCAGAAAACACCATACAATAAATTTTATTTTTATAGGGAGTGCTGCACTCCTCAACAATGTAGTTCAAGTTCATATTTCTCCATCTCTAACGGAAGTAACTGGAAACTATTAAATGCCAAAAGCAGCTACATAAATAAGTGCCTAAATATTTTTCTTTCCTTTTTCCTGGCTCCCATTGCTTCCAGATACACAGTGACGTGTTCAGGCTTTCGCTATTTGTGTCTTTTGAATTCCTCAATCTTCAGTCTCTGAAGTGTGTTTTAACTGCCCCATTCTTCTTGATAATGTATTTTGTATTTGACAGCCTGTGTTGTTCAATAACAGCTGAGAAATAAGGTCCCCTATCTCCAGAGAGCCTTTCTCAAGCCACTCTAAGAACATACTTCTTGTTTGCCCCAGCCAAGACCAGAGACCATTTTGGGGAACACGTTCAAGACAGCTCTCTGAAGACAGTATGGCTAGGCCTGAAGGTGAGCAATTGCCAAATAGCACATGTTGCTGTATGCTAGAAATAGCCTTATTATATATGCATATATAATATATATTTATTTATCGTAGCAGAGGTATCAGGTAATGGTCCAAACCCATTGCATTCAGTGTGGGTAGCCAGTCCCTGAAATTTCTCGTCTCCTTATTTATTTATCAATGCAGATTTTCCTGGTCTGAGCAGTGCTGCA